TAGGTCATAAAAGAAATGGAAAATGCATTATTTGTGTATAATTTTAAATGTCTGTGGGGCCGGGTGCAATAGCCGAGCAGCTAAAGTCTTCACCTTGAACATACTGGGATCCCATATGAGCGCCAGATGTAATCCTGGCAGCCCTGATTCCCATCCAGCTCCCTGCTTGTGGCCTGGGAAAGCAGTCGAGGACGGCCCAAAGCCTTGGGACCCTGAGCCCGCGTGGGAGAACTGGAAGAAGCTCCTGGCTCCTGGCTTAGGATTGGCTCAGCTCCAGCCTTTGAAGCCACTTGGGGAGTGAATCATCGGAGGGAAGATCTTCCTCTCTGTCTCTCCTCCTCTCTGTATATCTGACTTTGTAATAAAAAAAAAAAAATCTCTTAACAAATGTCTATGCATTTTCCTGTTTTATCTTCAAATGCAAGGAAAAACTTTTATCTTTCTCTTTAATAGCTGATTCATCCAAATTTTAGGCCTAAAGTGTCTATTACGACAATCTTTAAATTTAATTTGTTTCTCTTCCCCGCAGCATATTTGCTGCAATGTTGCAACACGTTTTCAAACCGGAGATTCTAAGCTCTTTGATAACTTTTAAAAACTCATGCGCATATATCTCTGCAATGTCTAAGGGTATATTATTATTTTGTAATAATTTCCTGGCAAAGTTACTGCCCAAGTACTAGCAGTTCCTGTTCCAGTGTGCAGGCCAAAATGTTCATCTTCGTCCAGCTATTGTAGGGACAAGCTCTGGCGACAAGATCGCCCTTTCACCACAGTCCCCCCAGCCCCTGTGCGAGGCCCTTCCTCTCTTCCAGGGCTCTGGCCGCTGGGAACTCCTAGGCTGCCACCCTTGTTGTTGGTCTAATATCCTCCTCAGGGCCCTGTGGTGTTTCTGGAGTGCTCCAGACGTGCCTGGGCAGTTGCTCAGCACGCACACTCCCTGCAGCACACACAGGCTGTGAGCTCTGACACTCCACGTGTCTCCATCTTTGCTCACATGCACACTCTGTCTCACTTCCGTTCACGTTTGCGAAATGCAACGTCGAACATAAAACTAATAAGAAATATAAGACAGTGACAATAGTGCATGACACCACATGGCACACCCGTTCTGATCCTGAATGGGTAAACTGGTGTTATTCAACTACCTTGTTTGGTGTCTAGGGCACCATTCTGCAAAATTTAAAAGATGCATTTTATTTTTACTTGAAAGGCAGAAATACAAAGAGAAAGAGAGGCAGATCTTTCATTCACTGATTCACTCCCCAAATGGCCTCAACAACCAGAACTAAGCTGATCTGAAGCTAGGAGCCAAAAGCTTTTTCCAGGTTTCACCATGTGGGTACAGGGGTCCAAGGACTTGGACCCTCCTCTGCTGCTTCCCTAGGTCATAAACGGAGAGCTGGATGGGAAATGGAACATTTGGGGCTCAAACTGACACATATATGGTTTGCTGGCACAGCAGACAGAGGATTAGACCTGCTAATTTTCTTTTTATTCTAAACATGCATAACACCCTATTTTCCTTCTGTTGTTCAGATTAAGTGAAGATCTGTTGATTGATCGATTACCTTCCTCCACGGCATCTATCCTATTGTTAAATCCACACCCGTGATAGTGATTGGTGGTATGCCTTGATTCTATTCATGCATCTCCAGGAACCTCTGCTTGGATACATACTAGCTATGTGATCTGGAGCAAGTGCTTTGAAATCTCTACATTCAGCTTCTCTGTGTATAAAATGTGAATCCTGCCAGCACCTGTCCCATGGGGTGGCTAAGAGGATGAAGCGAGCTAATGCATGCAAAGAGCTTATAACCATGTGCCACCTGGTCAATTCTCAGATTTGTCATGTATCTTTTGTTCTAACTGTCCCTCTGCTATCAAGTCCATTTTAGGGTTAAGACTTTAGGGTTGGGCCCAGCGTGATAGCATAGTGGCTAAAGTCCTCGCCTTGCACATGCCAGGATTCCATATGGGCGCCAGTTCTAATCCTGGCAGCCCCACTTCCCATCCAGCTCCCTGCTTGTGGCCTGGGAAAGCAGTCGAGGACGGCACAAAGCCTTGGGACCCTGCACCCATGTGGGAGACCTGGAGGAAGTTCCCGGCTCCTGGCCTTGGATCAGCACAGCACAGGCTGTTGAGGTCACTTGGGGAGTGAATCATGAGAGGGAAGATCTTCCTCTCCTCTCTCCTCCTCTCTGTATATCTGACTTTCCAATAAAAATAAATAAATCTTAAAAAAAAAAAAAGACTTTAGGGTTACTTCCTCATGTAGCATATGCTGTTCTTCCCCTCTACCCACCCACTTAAACCCTCATCATTTCTCATCTCACCAGCTGTAGTACTTACATGCAGAGGAATGAGTTGGCTAACAGCCCTCTGGGGAGATAAGCAGGGATTGAGTAGTGGTCAGGGGTGAACTTCACCGCAGCTCTTTGAATGCTTACAAAGAAAATGTATTACTATTACTTGTGAAATTAAAACAGAAATGTTTACAATTATTACCTGAAAGTGGCTATGTTATTAAAGGTTCCAGAGTGGCCTTCTGCTGAGCAGTCAGTTCAGATCATGCACTGCATCCCGTGACATAAATCAGACCACAACAGGGCAGCAGCTGGCTGACGCCCAAGCTTGGCAGTGAGTGGCCAAATCAGACTTCCTTGGGTTCTATCCCTTGGCAGCTTTGTGTTTTGTGGTATTTGAAGTTCCCTCTTCCTACCTCTCAGGAACTCTAGGAACTTTTAAGACAGAGGGTTGGTGCCTGTATTACTCAGGTTTTCATCACTATAATTAAATATCTGAAACAAGCTACTTACAAAGGAAGGTGGTATATTTCAACTCATGGTTTTGAAGGTATGCAGTCTATGAGTGTAGCCCCATTGATTCAGTATCTGATAATGGCATTCTTGCTGGCAGAGTCCCTTGTAAAGCCACCAGGATTTAACTATAAGGCTCTAATGATTCCAACAAATTCAATCACCTCCCGAAGGTGATTTAATTGGATAATGGCTCTACCTTTTCAGTACCATGAATTTAAGACTGGGGTGAGGGGAAGAGTGGTATGGTGGCATATTGGCTAAACCCTCACCTGCAGCACTGGCTTCCCGCATGGGTGACAGTTCAAGTTTTGACTGCTCTACTTTTTTTCTTTTTTTATAATAGATTTTTTTAATGATGTTTACATAGTTGAGAAGAGCACCTGCCCATGTGGACCACCAATTTGGCTGAGAAAGGTCAAGGAAAGGGGGGAGGTGGATGGGATAACTGCTTCCGGTTATCCTTTCCATTCTTCCTGGATCTGGGAGAAGGGGAGAGAGGGGGAGGGGGCCGATCTCAGCAGCCTCACCACACCAGTTTCTGGGGATAAGGGATGGCCACTCAATCTCACCCCAAGCTCCCTGATGTGGAGCACACTGCAGGGTACTGCTTAAGTGGTTTTGAATAGTTCTGAATGGTTGATTTTGATCTTCTCTGTCTCTCCTCCTCCCTGCACATCTGATTTTCCAATTAAAAAAATAAATCTTCAAAAAATACTTATTTGGGGAACATTCTGTAGCCAAAGTAATATCCAAACCATAGCTGCACATAGGTAAATGCTACTTCCTGTCATGCCTTTTCTGACATGCTCATTGTACATATTTGAATTAATTACAACTCTTTATTCCAAGCAGCTCATAAGGTAGCATATAAGCTTTGATCTTTTCCAGCCCTGTCGTTCATTTTCTTCATCTCTATCATTAGATTATACGCTCCTTAAGGATCTTTTGAGGCCAGTGTCATAGCAAAGCAGGTTAGGCCACAATCTGTGACACCTGCAACCCAAATGAGCACAAGTTCAAGTCCCAGCTATTCCATTTCCAATCCAGTTCCCTGATAATGCACCAGAAGATTGCTTAAATTCTTAGGCCCCTGCCACCCATGTGGGAGACACAGATGGAGTTCCTGGCTCCCAGGCTGCAGCCCTTTGGGAAGTGAACCAGCAGAAGGAAGATCTATCCATCTCTCTCTCTCTCTCTCTGTTTATTAAATAAATAAATAGATCTTGTGGTATGTGGGTAAAGCTGCTGCCTGCAATGCTGATATTCTGTATTAGCAGCAGTTCATTGTCCTGGTGGCTGCACTTTTGATCCAGCTCCCTTGTTAAAAGCCTGGGAAAAGCAGAGGAAGATGGACTGACTATTTTTATTCCTGCACCCATATACGAGACCCAGCTGAAGCTCCCAGCTTCTGGCTTCAACCTTACCAATCACTGGCCATTGTGGCTATCTATGGAGTAGACAGTTAATGGGATCTCTCTCTCGTTCTCTCTCTCTCTAACTCTGACTTTCAAAATAAACAAGTAAATATTTAGTAAAAAAAAAAAAAAAAGACTCATTCATATTTAGCCATTGTGCCCAACCCCCTTCTGTACGCCACAGTCTCCCTACCACACTTTTTGGGCTTTTGTACTCTTCTATAGTGTTTGTATACGTGTCACTTTCTCCTTGAAATGTTCTTTGATAGGTCTACCTAGAATACACTGTTTTCTCCTAAATTATTCTCAATCTCTGAATTTGTATTCTTTTTCTGATAGTACTGAAAAGCAATCAGGAATTCGCTTCTTTGCCTCACTTTCTTGTCTCTCCTCCATGCTCGAATGTGACTCTGAGAAAAACAGAGACCTTAGCTCAGCCCTGAATCTTTTGTGCTGAGTACAATGCCTGGCCTACTAGTAAGGGCTCATTAAATGCACCAATGAAATTGTGACCATCGGATGATCCCTCCTGCGAAATGTCAGCGTCAGGAAGGTCAGGACCTTATCTGCATACTTCAACATTCTCCGCACCCAGCACAGGGCCTAGGGCATAGTAGAGAATTAATAAAGAATTACTGGGGCTTGAGCCATGGTGTTTTAGGCTAAGTCTGTACCTGCAGTACCAAGTGCACCATATGGGCACTTGTTCGAGTCCTAGCTTTTATTGGAAAAGCAAGTCTGATTTACGGAAAGAACGAGTGAAATGTCTGCTTTCATGGCTGGTCCAGGAAACACAAAAAAGGTGGTGGAGAACCGGGCCCTGCTCTCCTGGAAACTGGGCTGCTCATTGTACCAGAATAGCGTGCCTGACATCTGTGGCATAGAAACCCCTGCCAAGGAGGGCACCATGTCTGCCCAGCTCGGCTACCCTGTGGTGGGCTGGCACATTGCTAATAAGAAGCCGTGTCTCCCCAAACATGTCCGACAGCAGATCCATGCCACACCCACCTCTGTTACTGCCATTGGCACCCCAACTACGGCCATCCAGGAGCCACCATCCCGGATCGTGCCCACCCCAACCTCCCCAGCCATTGTTCCTCCCACAGAGACCATGGTGCCTCCTCCTGTCAGGGACCCTGTTCCCGGAAGCCCACAGTCACCAGACATTCAGACCGGAGGCGCCATTATTCAGACCCCAACCCTGGGCCCCATCCAGCCTACTCGGGTGCCAGAAGCTAGCACCACAGTTCCTGGCCAGATTCGCCCAACAATGACAATTCCTGGCTATGTGGAGCCCACAGCTGTTGCTACCCCTTCTAGAACTACAACCAAAAAACCACATGTGTCCACATCAAAACCAGCAACACCCTCAACTGACTCAGCAACCACCACAACTTGCAGGCCAGCCAAGAAACCATGGACCTTCAGGCCAGTGCCCCTGGTCATTTCCATCTGCTGGCTCACTCCCTGGAGCTGAGCCCATCCGAAGCCATGAGCTTCTTCTGGATCTCTCGGTGGGTGTAGGGTCCCAAGCTGTAGCCATCCTCTACTGCTTTCCCAGGCCATACGTAGGGAGCTGGATGGAAAGTAGACAGCTGAGACATAAATCAGTGCCCTTGTGAAATGCTGGTACTTGTAGGTGGATTATCCAACGTAGCCAAAATGCCAGTCCCATCAGCCATTTTTTCTCTTTTTGAATAAAATATTTATTTTTATTGGAAAGGCAGATATATGGAGATAGAGAAAGATCTTCCATCTGCTGATTCACTCCCCAAGTGGCCTCAACAGCCAGAGCTGAGCTGACCCAAAATCAGGAGCAAGTAGCCTCCTCCAGGTCTCCCATGTAGGGTCCCAAAGCCTTGGGCCGTCCTCCACTGTTTCCCCATGCCACAAGTAGGGAGCCAGATGGGAAGTGGGGAGCAGCTAGGACATGAACTGGCACCCATATGGGATCCTGGCACTTGCAAGGCAAGGACTTCAGCCACTAGGCTACTGTCTGGGGACACATCAACCATTTTCAATTGTTACTATTTCTTATTGATAACAGCTTTTTTTTTCAGGAAAAAATTTTTTAAGATTCATTTTTCTTGAAAGAGTTACAAAAGGACAGAGAAGGTAAAACACACAGATATTTCTCCCACTGGTTTATTTCCCAAATGATGGCAATGGCCAAAGCTTTGCTGTCTAAGGCTGGAAGCCAGGAGCACCCCTGGGTCTCCCATGCGGGTGCAGGGTCCCAGGGCTTTGGGTCATCTTCTGTTGCTTTCCCAGGCCACAAGCAGAGCTGGATGGGAAGTGTAGCAGCTGGGACATACACTGACATTCACATGTGATGCCGGCAGCACAGGGCAGAGGATCAGCCGTCTTGCCATGGCATCTACCCCATAGTGACATTTTCTATATCCTCACAATCTCTGAGGTCTTTCTTGCAGCAGCAATCACTCTCTGAGGCCATTTCCTTTTAAGATTTATTGTTTGGGCCAGGCGTGATAGCATAGTGGTTAAGGTACTTGCCTTGCACGCCCAGAATCCCATACGTGCACCGATTCTAACCCTGGCAGCTCCACTTCTCATCCAGCTCCCTGCTTGTGGCCTGGGAAAGCAGTTGAGGATGGCTCAAAGCCTTGGGACCCTGCACCCATGTGGGAGACCTGGAGGAAGCTCCTGGCTCCTGGCTTTGGATTGGCTCAACTCCAGCTGTTGCAGCCCCTTGGGGAGTGAATCATTAGAGGGAAGATCTTCCTTTCTGTCTTTCCTCCTCTCTGTATATCTGACTTTGCAATAAAAATAAATAAACCTTTTTTAAAATTATTGTTTACTTATTTGAAAGGCCGCATGAAAGAGAAGCATGGAGTGGTCTGTCACCTACTGTTTCATTCCCCTAAACTGCTTGCATGTAGAGTTTGTCCTTGCCCCCAGCAGTTTCTTAGCTTCATGTTACAGTTTGCATGAGGTATTTGTGTTCTTACTGCATATTCCATTCCAAATTTGTACTCGTAAATTTTTGTTCTGCACTGGCTTGTACTTTTCCACTGCAGAGAGAAATCATTGCATCAAGTACTTCCAGGACCTAACTCGGTGCTGTAACTATGTGGGGGCCCCTGAGCCCCTAGCGCTGCTGTGACTGAGCCCCTCCCCTCCCCTTACCCATTTTCCTTTGTTTAAATTGGAACCCTTTAAGAATGGGATATAGTAAGAGAATCTGATACAGTTCTAGAATGCTTTGGAGACTTGAGCCATCTCAAAGCGTCCACGTTGAGCATCGTTCTATCCCACGTTTTCTCCTTCAGTTTCAGCTGTGATCAGGATGTCTTCAAAGAGGTGAATGAATAACTATGAACCATTCTGAACTGAACAGTAGGGTCCAAAGAAAAGGAGTGTTCAACACTGAGTTGGAAAATTGCGAGAAGCTTGAAGGCAGAGCAATAGTGAGGGAGGGTGCTGAGGTCGGAACACTGGGGTGGGAGAAAGTGCAGGGCTCGACTTCCTGCCATTTGGCTCCTCCAAAGCTGTATTTAGGGGTAATTACAGAGCTTCCCGCCCTGGGTAAAGAAGAAGTGACATGGAGACCGTGGGAAAGGGCCTGTTGGGGCCCTTGAAGGTGTTCTATGAAGGTGTGCCTCTGGCACTACCCGGGTTGATGGCCACCCATTAATTTTGTAGTTTGGAGGCACAGAGTTCACCACTTCTCCTAGGAGAAGAAGGCTGGGGCGACAGGAGGGATTGTTGTTCTTGGTGGCGGTGGCAGTGGGGTGGGTAGAGTGTGTGCGTGAACTGCTACACTCCGTTTGCCCAGAGGAGGAAGGCTAGGAAATTTCTGGCCCCACTCAAAATGGAGCCAAGCGGCTGCCTCGCCTAAGATGGCGGCTTCCCCGCCTCTTGGCTCAAGGTCTTCCTTGGCGATTGGGTACCTTTAAGGGACCAGCAGGTCCAAAGGTAGTTCAACACCGCCCTCCTTTCTCAGGGTGGTGTGTGTGTGTGTGTGTGGGGGGGTCCCGCCCCGATGACGTCACGCGGGAGCCGCGGACGCGCCGTCCCCGCCTCCGCCGCCGTTACCTCGCACGCCCGGCCTTCATAAGATGGCGGCCGGCTTGCCTACTGGTGGCTGCGCCGCCACTCTCAATATGGCTGCTGTTTACCTCCTATTTCTCCTCCCCAACTTGCTCGTTGTTTTGAATAAACTTTATTGACTGTCCTGAATCGTCTGCCACCACCACCGGGCTTCAAGCCGGCCACTTTTTTGGGGTCGTCTTGCTCGGACGCGGGGACTGGTGCATCCTCCTTGCTCTTTGATTCAGCTCCCTGCTCTCTCCCGCCGGTCCAGAGGCTGCACCACCTCGCTCGTTGGCGGGGCGAGCGGCCGACTAGGCCTGAGCCTTGTGCTCTCCCGTAGGCCCCGAACGGCCGGGCCGGGGGTGTGTGTGTGTGTGTTTGTGACGGGAGACAGTGGTGTGGAGGAAGCCGGCCGGAACCCCCGCGGGCGGCTGCACCTCGCCCCCCAGCGGGTGGCGGCCGGAGCAGGGGCGAGCGAGGCTTTGGCGGCGGCGTTGACGGTGTCTCTCCCAGAATTCGGCGCGCGCCGCCGCCGGGCCCGGAACTGGCCGGCGAGCCTCGGTTGAGAGAGGCGCCGCGCCGCCGTGGAGCGAGCCCGGCCGCCGGCGTGTCGCTGGCACCGAGCTCCGCCGGCGTGAGGAGTCCCTGAACGGCTCCGGATTGAAGACGTTCTCTGGTCAGGTTTGGGGCGTGAGGAGCTTCCTGTCAGTTGGGGGAGGCGTGAGGAGATCCCCGTAAGTTTCTGGGGCTGCGACGCTATTCCTGTCAGTTTGGGGATCTAGGATGAGGTAGCGATCCTTGTCAGTTTGGGTTGGGTCGAGGGGGAGACGTGGAAACCCTGGTTAGTTTTAGGGGGAAGGGGCTTTTAGGAGATGCCTGCCAGCAGTTTGGAAGCGATGGAAAACAATCCATGCTTAGTTTTAGGGAGGAAATTATACTCAGTCTCAGGGTTTGGGAAAGAGCTTTTTTTTTTTTTTTTTTTTTTTAGTTGTAGGGGTACAACGAGAACCTTGTCATTTGTTGAAGTCGAGGACGAGCGATCAGTTTTGAAATGACCATTTCTTTCATGCATGTGTGCGTGTGTGTGAGTGTGGTGGTGGGTTAGATGCGACTCCTGACGGGTCGGGAGAGGACTGATAACGGACAGGGACGCCAAGGGTCATTTCAGCTCGCTCTGGCGACCCCACAACTGTGATTGAAGTTGGCCGGCCAGTCTTGGTCCGCCTTGTCCCCGAAGGCTTTGAGAGAATTTTCGAGTGACCCGAGCCGACTTTTCGAGGTTGCCTCTGTGTGTGTGTAGCAGAGGATGTTGTGTGTGAAAGGGGTTTTCCGGGAAGCGCCCCCAGCCTCATTCTATAGGTTTTTTTTTTTTTCCCTTTCTCAGAAAGGGAGCCCCGAGAGGAGCTAGGGGGAGTCGGGGGTGGGGTGGGGAGCGAGCCAGGGGACCGGGTTCCCGGGAGGGATTAAAGAGGCGTCCTGCAAAGGCGTCAGGCATTATCCTGAAACCCGGAAAGAAGTTAGCAGGGACTGCGGGGGCCCCGGGAAGCTTGGGGTGGGGGGCGGGGAGCCTGGACGGCCCGGCGCCTCCAGCACCCGACGCTCTTGCCAGGTGAAAGAAATTCTATAGGCCGGGCCGGCTCCGCCACCGGGGCCCCCTACGACCGCGCCAGCTGGGTTGCATCCCGCTGCCGCCGCCACCAACTAGCAGCAGCAGCACCACCACCGCCGCCGCAGCAGCCGCCGCTGCTCCGGGCTCGAGCGGAGCCTGGGGGCGGGGGAGGGGGCGGGGACGGGAGAGACGGGGGAGGGGCAGGGGGAGGGGACCACCTGATTCAGTTAAAAAAAAAAAAAGTGTTGTTTGTGCCCAGCCACCGTCCGGAGAGGACGCGTGCGGCCGTGTGTCTCTGCTGTCCCTCTTGACATCACGACCCTGGCCCTCCGCAGAACGCTCCCAGGCAGGGCGAAGATGGCCTCAGTGCCAGTGTATTGCCTCTGCCGGCTGCCTTACGATGTGACCCGCTTCATGATCGAGTGTGACATGTGCCAGGACTGGTTTCACGGCAGGTAAGGGGAGGGCAGGCCGGGCTGCACAAGGTGCAGTGGCCGGCCGGGCACACCGACTGTCTCTCTTCTCAGCTGTTTTAGATTCCTGCTTAGAAAACAAAACAAAACAAACAAACAAAAACCTCTCACTACCACCAATACTCACCATAACCATGGGAACACACAGGCACTCCTTGCATGCACACCGGCCCCTAGGCAAGTCATTCATCTCTGGCTTCTTTTCTTTCTCTGTTTTCCTCGGTATATTTCTTTGCACTATTCTTTCGAAAAAAAAAATTCTTACGATTTATTTTATTGGAAAGCCAGATTTACAGAGAAACGGGGAGGAACAAAGATCTTCCATCTTTTGGTTCACTCCCTGAATGGCTGCAATTGCTGGAGCTCAGCTGATCCAAAGCCAGGAGCCAGGAGGCTTTTCTGGGTCTCCCACATGGGTGCAGGGTCTCAAGGACTTGTGGCCATCCTTCTTTGCTTTCCCACGCCGCAAGCAGGCAGCAGTATGGAAGTGGAGAAGCCCAGGTGGGATCCGGGAGCTTCAAGGGGGAGGATTAGCCAATTGAGCCATTGTGCTAGGGCCTTGAAAATTTCTTCTTTAAAGATTTATTTATTTTTATTAGAAAGGCAGATTTACAGAGAAGAAGAGACAGAGACAAAGATCTTGCATCCACTGGTTAACTCCTCAAATAGTCAAAATGGCCAGAGCTGAGAGCTAATCTGGAGCCAGGAGCCAGGAACTTCTTCCAGGACAACGCGGGTGCATTGTCCTGTGGACTTGGGCCGTCCTCCACTGCTTTCCCAGTCCAGAAGCAGGGAGCGGGATGGGAAGTGGGGCAGCTGGGACACGAACTGGCGGCCATATGGGATCCCAGTGGCACTTGCAAGGTGAGGATTTAGCCACTGAGTCAAAGTGCTGGGCCCTCGGAAATTTTTAAAAGAATTTTTAAGCCTCCTCCTCTCTAGCCATAAAGTACGGGTTTTGCATTCTGTCGCTTGGATTTTTGCCTCAGACACTGGTTGCAGAGGAGATGTGTTGCATTTTTGAGATACTGGAATCTAACAAACATAGATTGGAGTCGCAGCTTTGCGCTTACTATCAGAGTGACCTTGGGCAAGTTCCTTTGCTTCTCTAAGCCTTATTGTCTTTTCCTACAAAGTGTATCAAATACATCCTCCTGACTATATAAGGCATTTTGCCCAAACTCAGTACATGGAGTTAGAAATGCCATAGAATTTACGTATTTATCTATGAGACCATCCAATTACATTGAATTAAGCGAAAAAGACCTTAGAAAAACCAGCAGGAATAAAACCACTAATGAAGCCCCCCAAGCTAAGCAGGTGTGCCCCAAAGCACCTGATTCCATAGAGGTTGTTTGTGGAATAAAACTATAATATTATCTCTTTATTGGGATTTAAATCCCAGCTCTGGAAAGATAACCATGAGGGGCATGGTTAGACTCTGGTGCCCCCTCCAGGTGTGTGTAAGATGCTGGGAATTTCAGTTTTCACTAGTCCCTTCTGGAGTAGCTGTCCCTGTTACTATGCCCAAGAGCAAACTAAAGGTACTGGTGCTGCTAACATCTCGCCCTCAGCAGGGCTTGCCTGCACGCTCCTCACCGTGCATCCCAGTTCATATTGAACTGAACTTTATTGAATATTTACTGTGTGCCAGGTGCAGAGTTCTGTTTATTGCCTCTTATTATTTCAGAGGGAACAAACCTGGAAGGTGGGGCTTTTGGCTTTGCTCTGCAGCTAAATGGGGATTAAGATGTTTTTCAGGATTCTGCCTGCTGTTGCCAGTGCTGCTTGAAGGTCCTCCTCAGTTTAAACTTCTTTTCAGCATTTCCTCTTGGAAGATACACAGTTTAGTAATCTTTGTGTAACAGACAGACCTTTTGTGAACTCATTGTTCTGTCTTGGTTCCTGCCCCTCCTCCTCAGTCATTTCATTATGTCCCAGCAAGACTGAGCTACCTACCGTTCTGGGATTTGAGATTGCCTTCTGCCTGTTGTCCTGTACATGTTATTCCCACTAATGTCCTGCCTTCACAGCTCACAGATCATCTCTGTTAGAGAACTCTTTGCTCTGGGTTCCTAATGCATTTTGTATGTCTCCTTATTCAAATAAGTAGTTTTATCATATCGTAATTCTAAATATGTGTGTCATTCATCATCCTAGCTGGAGCTCCCTGAGCGCAAAGGTGTTGTCGGTTTCCTGTTGCTAGGTGTTTAAGTGCTCACCTAAACCTGATTTCTGATGATATCTCATCTATATAGATATAAAATATATATTTGTTCCAGGTTATTCAGATATTTTCTTAATCGGTGTACACTTAACATTATTTGCATTTAAAAAAGTTTATTTGAAAGGCAGAGTTGCAGGTAGAGGGGGAAGGAGGGCAGGAGGAAGAGGGAAGAAAGAGGAGAAGGAGAAAATGTCTTCCATGCACTGGTTCACTCCTTTAAGGTCTCCAACAGCAGGGGCTGGTCCAGTCTGAAATCAGGATCCCGGAACCCCGTGTGGGTCTCCCACATTGGTGCATGGGACTGAAAATCTCGAGCCATCCTGCGCTGCTTTCCCAAGCTCATTAGCAGTGAGCTGGATTGAGAACAGCAGTCGGGACTCCAAATGGCACTCTTACTGGATGCCAGCATTGCAGGGAGTAGCTGGCCCTTCACCCGCTGGTTCACTGCCCAAGTGGCCGCAAAGGTAGGAAGTGAGTTGATCCAAAGCCAAGAGCAAGGGATTTCCTCCAGGTCTCCCACATGCACGCAGGTGCCCAAGGACCTTTGAGCCATCTTCTGCCTTCCCAGGCCATAAGCAGGGAGCTGGATGGGAAGTTGGAGTAGCTGGCACTTGAACTGGCACCCATATGAGATGCCAGTGCTGCAGACTGATGATTGTGCTTTTTACTATTATAAATGATAATATGTGAGTAAACTTTGGGAATCTGAAAAATGTTTTATATCTTGATATTACTGTTGGTTAAAACAAAAATAAAAGCATTGTGGTCAAAACTGAATAGTAGACAGTTGACATTTATACAGAGCAGTACTGGGGTCCTTTAGGAATTCTAAATTTGGGATCAGTGTTGTGGCATAAGGGATTAAGCCAGCACCTGCAATATTGGCATTTCATTGGGTCACTGTTTCAATTCCTGGCTGTTCTACTTCTGATCCAGCTTCTTGCTAATGTCCCTGGAAAAGAAGTGGAAGATGGCTTAAGTGCTTGGGCCCCTGCCAACCCTAAGGGAGACCCAGATAGAGTTCTGGGCTCCTGGCTGTTACAGCCATTTGGGAAGTGAACCACGAGATGGAAGACCTCTATCTCTGTCTCTCCTTTGCTATTGCTGCCTTTGAAGTAAATATTTAAAAAATAGTTCTGAATTTACAAATATGAAAATGAGCTTATGGGCCAGGCCCCTATTTAACTACACTTGTATGGTTAAATGTGTGTTTCTGTTAACACCCTTACACAAGTTAACTGCTTTAATTTTTGTTGCATGAAGGAAACCTTTCCCCCCCTTTTGTCTCTTCTTTCTATGGGCTGCTGGAGAACAAGGAAGCTAGCTGAGAATCAGGTCCT